TAGGATGGGTTTGGAGCTGAGAGAATATGAACTTCATCATCGACACACACGTTCAGAGCGGCCATTGCAAAGTACCAAGGGCTTTGGAGGCCAAGCTGGTCTGATATCCCAGGTCCATAGGTTCAGGGTTTTGCACTCTAAAGGAGGCAAGGAATCACTACGGAATCTTTGTAAAAGGTGAGAGTTTGAATGGGCATTACGCCACACTGAGAGAAGCAGGTACGTGACTGGACAGTTCGTCTAATGTTGCTTGTTACGGTCATCATTTTAGTGCAATGAGCAAATATTCAATGTAACTGTTTTAATAAAGACTACTGGTTTGACATTTACTAGAATGAATAGAAAGCTCATGGCTCTGGATTTTATATTGCCAGTGTCATTCCAATGAAAGCTCATCTTAAGGCATCTGATGGGAGATGACCCTAAATGAAAGCACAGTGTCCTAGGAGATTAGTCAACTAAGTATACAAAACAATCACCAAACAACATTCTTAAACATCCAGTTTCTTACATGAGGAATCTTGCCATTAGAAGGTATTAGTGCCTGAAATTGTAGACAAGAAGTTGACTGTAGGAGAGGGCCTCCTGCTATTTATAATAAGATCCCTGATTCTAATTGAGTCACTTTTTTTGTTTGTTTGTTTTTAAAGAGTTTATTTATTTATTTGACAGACACAAGTAGGCAGAGAGGCAGGCAGAAAGAGAGGAGGAAGCAGGCTCCCTGCTGAGCAGAGAGCCTGATGCAGGGCTCCATCCCAGGACTCTGGGATCATGACCCGAGCCTAAGGCAGAGGCTTTAACCCACTGAGCCACCCAGGCACCCCTGTTTGTTTGTTTTTACTTATTTTTTTAAATTTTATTTTATTTTTTCAGTGTTCCAAGATTCATTGTTTATGCACCACACCCAGCACTCCATGAAATACGTGCCCTCCTTAATATCCACCACCAGAATCACCCATTCCCCACCCCCTCCCCTCCATAACCCTCAGTTTGTTTCTCAGAGTCCACAGTTTCTCATGGTTCATCTCCCCCTCTAATTGTCTTTCTATGGGTTTGTTTATACCACTGAATTTAAAGTTTCTGGTTCCTAACTTAAAACTCTAATTCCTCACCAAAAGCTTGGTTTCATCATCTCTAACAAACCCAACTCCTGTTCTGAATTTCCTACTGTAAACCAATTTTATCCCCTACCATTTTTTTTAAAAAGATTTTATTTATTTATTTATTTATTTATTTATTTGAGAGAGAAACACAGAGAGAGAGAGCATGAGCAGGGGGAGGGGCAGAGGGAGAAGCAGACTCTGCTGAGCAGGGAGCCCGACTTGGGGCGCAATCCCGGAACCCTGAGATCATGACCTGAGCTGAAGGCAGTCACTTAACTGACTGAGACCCTCAGGCCCATTTTCTTCCACCATTTAAGCTCATTTTCTACTCTGACACCACTCTCTTCTGACACACCCTGTTCTCTGTAAATGGGGAGACATCCCATCTGCCTTTTGCCTTCTACTGTCCAGGAATAAGCTATCCGGGAAGGACCTCAAAAGATTGGACTTTAAGAAAGAGTTCTTAACTTTCTGGTTTTCTATGCTCATGCACTATGTCTCAGAAACACATGGAAGGAATAAGATATTTGTCTGATTGGAACTGGATGGCCCAGGAAATCTGTTGAGCATAAATAGTAAATGGTTCTTAATCTTGATTTGGGAAATGTTACCCATTTGCTATGATTAGCGTGTGCTGTGGTGGGACCTGCTTGACATTCTTCTTTGCATACAGTTATATAGCTCCAAATGTCAAACAACTTCCTCTTCAGTCTGATTTATGATACAAGCATAAATAAATATGTAAAATGAGTTTAAAGAAGGAAGAAATGATACTCGAAAATGATTTGGGTTGAAATCCTTTGCTGTGAGGGAAGATTTTAGGAATCATTTCAGAAAGACCAAAGGTGCTGAGTAAAATGGGTAGAGAAAGAAAGACACGCAAAGCATTTTGGATCACAGATGGACTCCTTTTATGATGTAGCAGGAGGACAGAGCCTAGGAGCTCTGTAACTTCACCCTCGCTTGACTCCTTCAAAGGCTCTGAAAACCTGAGATCTTCCAGAATCAGCCAGGAAGGAGGAGTCTCCAGCCTCTTGAGAGAGTCCACTGTGGGTCAGAGGAAGTCTGTGATTGTTCTGTGTGTGTTGGTCTTTGTTAAAGGGCTTGCTGTGAGTTCCCTCTGTGGGGGTTCATTGGGATCATTTTAATGTAGGTAACCGAATAGAGAACTGTGTATTTCAGTAAGCAGGATACTGACTCAATGGTGGAAATATTGTGTACTCATAATTGAGCTATGATCTCCATTTCCACCATCCTCGGGTTAACCTCTTCAAATTCTTGTACCATGACTGCTTCTGTCACATTCGGTGTTGTGTTTAAGATTTCTTGGATTCAAATCCTAACTTCTGCATGGGATGATCCTCCCAGTACCTCAGTCTCCCCTCCACCCCCAGAGAATTGGGATGATTAGAACAGAACTAGTGCTTAAAAATTCAGAGAGTTCATTCATTTTTTTTTTTTGAAGATTTTTTATTTATTCACCTGAGAGAGCGAGCACAAGCTGGGGGGAAGGGCAGAAGGAGAGGGAGAAGCAGGCTCCCTGCTGAGCAGGGAGGCTGAGGAGAAGGCAGACCACCGACCTAACCACGCAGGTGCCCCCCGGGGTTCATTCTTGTAAAGCCTCGAAGGTAAATGCTCTAGGGAGGTTTGCTGTGGTTTCTGTCATACGATCTCTGCTTATCTACTACGATTTTGAACAAATGGCATGACAACTTACCGTTTACTCGTCCCCGTTTCCTATTAATGATAATTTGTATAACCAGTGTCACTTGTGCTACTATTATCTCACTAGCAAGGAAGATGCATTTTTAAACAATTGAACCATATGTGTTCTGTGTTAATAGCTTGGCAAACAACTACTGTCCCTTTTGGCTGCACATTTCTTGTTGGGGGACATTATTATTCTGTATGGTTAATGTCATGCCGAAAGCCTGTTAAAAGGATAAAAGCCAGGTGCACCTGGGTGGCTCAGTGTATTAAGCAACTGCCTTCGGCTCACATCATGATCCTGGAATCCCCAGATCAAGTCCCACATCGGGCTCTCTCCCTAGCAGAGAGTCTGCTTCTCCCTCTGACCCTCCCCTTTTTGTGCACTCTCTCTCTCTCAAATAAGTAAAATCTTGAAAAAAAAAAAAAAAAGGATAAAAGCTAGAATGTAAGCTCCATGAGGGCAGGAACCAAATGGTCTGGTCCACAAAAACACCCCTGTGTGGACATAGGTGGGACTGAGAGGGAAGTGGGCCAGGCAAGGAGCCCAGGGAATGCTTTTCAGCTTTTTGGGACTACAACTCAAGTGGTTATTGAGGAGACCAAGACTTCTGTTTTGGTGACTTGTCTGTTTTAAGGCTGTTTGTTATTTTTCTGGAATTTTATTTCTTCGTTGCTCCTCTTCAGCTTCTCTCAGCCAGTACTAGGAACAGTCCTCATGGAGGAGGGCAGTGGTCTCTCTCTTTCTGCCCTAATGTCCCTAAGGCACCACTAATGTCCTCATCTCAAATGCTGGTGAGAACCAACCTTTGGGGCCTATGTGTGAGGTAGTTAAGCCAACCACTCTAGTGGACTCGATATGTGGAAAGGATCCACAACTTTCTCCAACCTAAGCACCCCTTAGTGTCTCCAGTTGCATTATGACAGTCATACTAACATTTCTGTAAAATGTCAAAAGTGTGAATCACTTGTCTTTCTCTTCTTGGAATGGTTCCCCCTTCAACCCTCCATAGAATACCCTACTCAGTTCCCTCCTTTTCTTCTTTTCCTCCAACTTCCACTCCTTTTTGGGGCGGAGGTGGGGTTTTGACTGCAGCTTTATTTATCCCTCTCTACCAGCTCACCCTCCCCTCCCCCAACTAAAATAGGCTAAAGAGCTTTCAAGAAGGACTTTGAGTCCCCTAGGTAATTCTCCCACTCAGCCTGGAAGGAACTCAAATGATTCTCAGCTCTGTCTGAGCTCTGATAATGGTACTTTCCTCAGAAGCTGTTTTAGCTGGTCTCATGGGCTTCACACAGATTGTTATTCAGCTGACACCCCGAGGGAACCCTATGAACCTATCTGGAAATTTTATGTATTGTTCTCTACTCTTGAACACCATGCCCTGCAAACTCCAGCCACCTTGGCCTCCCCTATCTCCAATCTTTGTTTCTTCACCTTAGTGAGATTCCTGGACTCAGGGCTCCCCTCAAGTATGCCACAGTTGGACAGAGAGCTCAAGTCGGGGTAGGCTTACCTCACTTGTTGTCATTTCTCAAGGATCACAGTCTTGTGTTCCACGTTGTCCAATGTTTGAAATTATATGTCTCAAGCAGTTTGGACAATGTTCTGGTTACAACAGAGGGAAGATAATTATAGTAAGTACCCTTTCATTCCTAAGTAAGAACTCTGGAGATGTGAGGAAATAGTTAGGTGTTCTTTCCTTGACTGAATAAAAATGCAATTCTCCTATAAGCTGGGCCTTGATTTCTGTTGCCTGGGACACTTTCCTTAGGTTACCTACTAAGGCTTGAGACGTCATGTTCCACCATGTTCTTGGTCTAGACTGTGTTTATTGTCCTCCAGAAGTACAAAGACAGCTTCTCTCTCTCTCTCTCTTTTAAGAGAGCAATAGAGAGTGAGTAGGGGAAAGGGACAGAGGGAGAGGGAGAGAGGGTGAATCCCAAGCAGGCTACACACCCAGAATAGAGCCTGACACAAGGCTCAATCTCACAACCCCGAGATCATGACCTATGCTGAAATCAAGAGTTAGAAGTTTAACCAACTGAGCCACCCAGGCACACCTGAAGGCAGTTTCTCATAAGCTGCCCATTCTACCAATCCCCAGTGAGAAATAATTAGACCATCCAGTTTTTACCAGTCCTTCCCACACTCACCAGAATTTCAGGAGAAAGAATGAGACACAAAAGTTGTTAGTGACATGTTCTTAGCTTTATTGAAATTCTTTCTTACAAAAGGTCTTATGTATTTTAGGCCAGGCCTAATTTCTTTTAGTCCCTGAAATCCAGGTCCATGGTTATTTCCATGTCCTTTTAAGTAAATATGTAAACTAGTAGACTTTTCGATTAAGGTTCAAACACTTATCTTTGTGATTTTTATTTGATGTAAAACGAGACTTGTGTTTCCGCAAATGAAAAGACCAAGTAAGAAAGTTTTATGGGTCTTCATTGATGGGATAACTGGATTCTTTGCCAGAACTGAATTGGAATTTATTTTGTTCAACGTGACATCTTTCTACCTTCAGTATTTTTTTTTTTTAAATGCAAACTTTGTAATGCTCTGAGCTATGTAGTAAAGAGTGCCGTGTTTATATATGCATACATATATTGGTTCTGGAAAAAGATGCATGAATACATGCGTGTTATGTAAACATAGCAATTGATCAGGAGAGTCTCTGATCATTAGGACATTAATGGATAACAAGCATATTGTAAGCAAAAAACCACCAATAGCACATATTGGTTTAGTTGTCAGCCAGGAACTTTGCTGGTCCTACACCTGGAGGATCCCAGGTGTCACTTTCCCCAGCCAAGCTGATGCTCACCCCATGTGACAGGTATTTGTGTATCTAAGGCCTGCCTCAGTCTGTGACACCCCAAGGGAGGTGAGTCTGTGCCCACTTACTACCATGTAACTTCTCTAGTCCTAGAACATGTATATGGCTTGCTTTGACCTCCTCCTCATGTCAGAAGCAGAATATGATCTCCCTGTCACTAGGAGAATAGAGCCGATTGAGGACTAGCAGAGCCCAATGGCTCCTTCTTCTGCAAGAGGTGATAGGGAATCCCCATCTCCCTACAGGATCCACTAGGACATGTGTCCTGATCACAGGAGCACACCCAAAGCATCCTGGAAGCTTCAATACCATCGCCTCCAAACAGCTCCGAGACTCAAGTAACTTGGCCTTAACCCTGACTGCCAGAAGGCTGAGTATTGGTCTCAGTTTAACCCAGACAGCCCCCATGTCACCCTCCAAATAAACCTTCCTCCTAGGTCAGCAGTTGGCCTGGAAGCCAGTCCATGTCTGATATTATACTCTGTAGGTTTGGAGTATAGAACCCTGTTGTCCCACATGCCTTACACCCCGAGCTCCCTGCTCAAGCCTAGTAAAGACATGCTAGCATTCAGGTAGAAACAATGGTTATAGTCATTCTCAATCTTCCAGCTTACTGGCCAGGTGAACGGGTCAGCTAAGTGCTACCTAGAGGTAAGGTCTTACCCCAGCTAACAAACCTTGTGGGAATGCTGCAAAGTGGATAAATGAATTTAGCACCCAAGATACTATGTAGTATGCGCAATAGTCACTCCGTGGATGTCAGTGTCACTGCCCTTCTCCAAAGCCAGGCTGTCTCCTGCAGAGGCTGTCATTTCCCTCTCCCTCCTACGTGAGGGCACGTCCTCTCTGTCACTTCCTGAACTAACCAATGGTGTGCAGAGGCAAAGAGGAAAGAATGAATCATTTGGTATAGTCTCTTGCTGGGAAGGAAGATGTTGAAACTCTTGGCCTAACTAAGGGAATTACTCTGAAGAGTAAATGACCTGTTGGGCCTCCCTCCTGTCTCCACCTGCTGAATTTCTCTCCAGCAGACTCTCAGCCTTGAAGTGACAGACCAAAGGCGAGCATGGGTATCGGTGGATGCATGGTGCTGGGAAGGCTGGGCAAAATGACTGTCCAGTTGACCAGGGCATCACAGGCAGGGACCCTGGTAGAAGGGAGAGACAGGCAGTAGATCCCAGAGTTGCACTTTGCAGCTAATGTCCAAGAGGAGAAGGACGACAGGCCACCATGGTCCTGGGACAGGGATATGGGGGTCCGGGGATTGCCAGGCTGGGGAGAGCAGAGATGAGGTCCCAAGTGATGACTCCGCCCCAGGAATGCAGGAAGGAGGCTCGGCAGCAAGGCCCAACCGTGGACCACGCCCACTCTCAGTGTCTGTTGCACGTCACCCCAGCATCCTCAGCGTGCCCGCAGTTTGTCACCCCCCATTTGGAGAAACTGCAGCGGAAGAGGGAATCTTCCGTGCCCTTGCAGGCGACGTCATCCATCCAAATCCTCCCTGTGCCTGTGGGGACAAGTCAACACGGTTTCTTAGCAAACATGCGGGAGAGCAGGACAGAAGACAAAAAGGGGCATTGCCATGTCTGTTCTTGATGAGATTGTCCCAGGCTCTGCCAGCAATTCTCAAATATAGTGGTGCCTGCCTGCCCTCTCCACCCCACCAAGATCAGATACTCATTTTCTAGGCTCAGTTTCTTGAGGTCAGGATAACAGTAACTGGGGTGATGGCAGTATTTATCCTACGTGTCAGACATCTCACGTCTGATCCTCCTCCATCCCCATCATGGGGCTGTGGGATCAACATTACTGCACCCGTTTTATAGATGGAAGTCTGAGGCTCAGGATGCAATTGGTGCTTGGTTGCTCAGCTCCTAAGTGGCAGGATCTGAAGTCAAGTTCAAGTTGGTATGGTCCATGCTTTAGTTGCAACACCTCATGGCTTTTGAGATGTAATTTCTATCAGGCTTTGTTGATGAGTACTCAAGCATGGCCTACTCTGAGAGACAATGTCCGACAGATCCTAGATGAGACAGTCAGTGCCCCATATCCAAATAGGTCAGTGTCAACATTACCTCCGATGTTTTGAAATTTACAGCAGATGGTTCCATCCTACGAGCCCAAAATAGTGGTGCTAGAATGGCAGGGGATCCCCGAATTTAACATTATAGTCAAACATTTATTTAATGACAGGCAGAAGCATCCCTAATCAGAAGGAATTAGATCAGTTCCCAAAGTGTAAAATCCCTAAGACAATCTACTGGAGTTTTGCCCACAGCTAGTCTGTTTACCCAGATCTTAAGGGGACATCCTTGCTGGTCTGATAGCACGCTTTAGTTAGCTTTCCCAGGAATGTTCCAGAGCCTTGGGAGCTAGAAACTTGGCACTGAAGTTCTTCATTGAATGTCAGAGAAATAGGGCAGCTGGGTGAGGCCCCAGGAGGGAATAGAGAGGGCCTTTCTGGGGTCTGAGGGGTCAGTGGAGAGGGTTGTGGGCTGCACCACAAGTCACCTGGAGCCCCCACTGATCAACTGACAGGACCATCACTCATGGTTCTCGCGTGTTCTCTGTGCTGAGGGCCATGCTGGGCCCCAGATGAAGGGAGCTCATTTGGGAGCCCTCTGGAAATATGACTGAGCCTTAGGACACCCATAGAAGCAGTGGCCTAGAGCCTGATTGCTCCACGTGTGGTCCTGGACTAGCTGCATCAGCATTATCTAGACCTTATTAGAAATGCAGAACTTTGGGTCCCACCTAGGAATACTGAACCAGGATCTACATTTTAACCAAGAGGTTATGAAGTTTGAGAAGTAGGGATCTACAATAAGTAGGATAGATCTTGATTCAACTCCCAGCCCCTGGGACCCATTTCAGTTGTAAAACTAGGAAGGGCTTCCCAAGATGTGAGAAGTTCAGTGCTAAAACCAGGTACATTCTAGATAAACCATGATTGTTGGTCACTCTAGGACCCTAGCTCGTTAGGTCTATGAGCTGGCCTCCAAAAGCATGAGGTCAAAGGTCACAAGCTAGCAGCATCAACTCGAGCAAGTCAGATGAGGCAATAAATTGTTCCTGATTTTTAAAGGGCTTTGAAATCTACCAAAATCATATAAAAAAAGGTAGCTCAGGGATTGGCACTAGCCCTGTCTCCTCCTCGCCCCATCTCTCAGCACCCAGACAACTTCTCCTTTCAGAGGCACTGTCCAGACAACTACAAAAACCTTCAAACGCCATGCTCTCTTGAACTGCATGGGAGAATTCTCTTCACAAAGAACATCCAGGAAACATCGAACCCATTTTGCTGCCCATAAAGTCTACCGCGGGAGCTATGTAGTTTAGACGAATTTTCGTTACGCAGAGATTTCCAGTGTCTGTTGTCATGGGATGGCTGAGCGGTTGGTGAACGTGGGGACAGAGCTGGGAGGAGGAGAGGCCTCCTTCCGCTCTCTTGGCCATTGCTTCATCACAAGAGCCTCTTCGCTGGCCCGGATACCCTGTGCATCTTACACAATAAGCCCTTTGAGGCCCAGCAATAATTTGCAGATTAAATGTCTCCTGGAAAATACATCAGTTTACAAATTACCCAGGAAAAGCCTGCAGGCCCAAGAGCTCTGTGGGATTAGTCACACCCAAAACAAATAAAGAAGCCAGTAAAGGAAACCGACAAATATAGAACAGGCCCAAGGTAACCCATGCAAATGCATACATAGGCTCAGGAAACTTCAAACTCTGGTGGGTGTTTTTGCCAGGGAGTTTGGGCTATTGTTCAGTCATGAAGAGGTCATAAAATAAGAGTAGGGTCATTAAATCAACAGCGCTGGATAGCGATGGACGGTTAACCTGAGAACCAGCCCCGCTGTTTGCCATGTCAGAGCCTGGAAATCCCACTCTATGCACCGATTGTCACTTTAGCTTTAGAACTGATATCTGAGGACTTAAAGTGTGGCCCCAAGACCAGGAGCGGTCAGCATGACCTTCGGAGCTTGTTAGAAATCAGAGGTCTGCATTTGCCCAGACTTGAATCAGAATCTTTTAAAGAGGATCTCCATGATTTATACACACATTCAAGTCTGGGGAGCCATTCTCTAGATGAGGTCTGTAATTCCACATAGATGTCTCCACAAGCTCCCGAACAAAGCCCTGGGATAACTAAGCAGGGTAGGGTGCTCTGCACCCCACTGTTGGGGTCAGAAAAAGGAAACAGTAGGGTAACATTTTATCTTGAGGAGGCAAAGTTGGGATCAGAGGCCAGGTCTTCTGACACTCAGACACTAGGGGCTGCTTGAAGGTGATATTGTTGGGAATGAGTAGGTAGAGATTTTATTTTATCCTCCTCATTCATTCATTTGTTCATTCATTCATTCAACATATACTTGAGGGTTTATTCCAAGCTCAGCGCTATTCTGGGTGTTTGGACTACATCAACAAACAAAAAAATGATGGAACAACAATAAAAATCTCTGCCCCACAGAACTAACTTTTGAGCTTCTACATGTTTATTTGCAGTAATATTAATAGAAGGACTAAGTTCAGGCTCCCCTCAGAGCCTCACACAGAGGTCACGAGGATGGTTTATCTAATAGATATTTAAGAGATGGGAAAACTCAGAAAGATTAAGTGACTTGTCCCATAATGATTAAGGGCTGGACATCATGACCCAGGCCTCTGAGCTGCAGGCAATCTGGGACTCGTGCCTTACGGGGATGCAGTGCCCAGCATGAACACCAGGCCAAGGGTGGTAAACTGTGGGCCACTTTGGCCCACTGTCTGCTTTTGTAAATAAAATTTTATTGGAACATAGCCCCACCTGGTTGATTATGTTTTGTTTATGGCTGCTTTCCTGCTACAAGAGTGGAGTGGAGTAGTGAGAGAAACTATTGGCCCACAAAGTCTAAAATATTTACTTACCCGACCCTCTCATGTTTGCGGACTCATGCACAAAGCCGTCTCCCAGTATTTGGATTTTGTCTTAGAGGTAATAATATGACTGGAATTGAACACTCCCAGTTCCATCCCTTGCACTCTCACCTACAAACCTGTCTGCATCTGGGTCCAACCTCACGTCTTCTGTCTGTCTGTCTTCCAGAAAGATTTTCTCTGCAGATCCAAGACTACCTTCAGCTGGGCTACATGTGGTTCCTCCCCTGTCTTCTTGGACCTCCTTCCACCCATTCCCCTGACATCTTCTCCATCTGCATTTCTTCCCTCTTCAACTATTCAAAATTGAAAAACACCTTTAAGATTCTCCCACACGGTGCTTTCCTTGCTTCTTTCCCCGGAGAAACAGATACTTTGATGATTGAGCCCCATCCAGGGAAACTTCCATGGTGCCAGACCCCTAAGAGAAGGGCCAGGGATTGGAAGTTTCTTGTATTCTACTGGGGAGGACTCAGGTTAGGTGGGCACAGAAGTTCCTTCCTTCTTCCATCCCTTGTCCCCCCGCCCTTCCTCCCTCCCTCCCTTCCCACCCTCTCACATTTAGCAGGTACCCATGAAGTCCAAGTCACAGTCCTGGGTTTGGGAACTGTGAAGGTAAAGCCCTCAAGGTGTTCTCACACACATCAGAGCTCAGGAGGTGCCATGATAGAGACAGGACACCAGGGGAGCAAGGAATAGGGTGGGGCTGGAGTCACCAGCAGAGCTCCCCTCAGGAGCTGATGACTGGGCTGATTTTAAAAGCTGAACAGGAATTAGCTAGACGAAGAAGGAGGGGAAGGCATTCCAGACCAAACTCGGGAAGATAAGGGAAGGCAAAACAACCATGGGAGCTCAGAGAACACAAGTGTCTGTGTGTCGCTGCGGGGTGAGAGGGGTGTGGGAGGCAGAAGAGGAGGGTCTCATTTTAGAAAGGATTCTGGCAGCCATGAGGAGGGAGGTGACAGGAGCTGGGCTGGAGGTGGAGGTGAGGAGAAGTACCTGGTGGAGGGTCATGGCTACCCCTGCACCCAGGCCTACTGGCACCTGACCTCCTCCCAACACAAAGCAGAGGAGCGAGCACACCGGCGCCTGCACTCTGTTTGCTGCTTGACACACGTGATTTCATCGAGCAAGTGCCACAATCCCTCTAACGTGGAAGGGCTCAAGCTGGGGGAGGCGATAAAATCTACTCCAGGCCACCAGCTGGATGGGGCAGACTGGAAATTCTAACCTGGGTTGGACCCACAGCCTGAGCTCCTAACCACTGCTCTACCCTGCTTGGGCTCCTAAGGCAAGAACACCGAGAACAAAGAGCAAGGGACAGAATCAAGGGACACTGGAGAGTCCTTACCAGACGCTGGTAAAAATCTGTGGGACCCGGGGACTGGCCACATGAACGGGCGGGGAGAGGGAGAGAGCAGGATGGGGGACAAGCCAGCAGTCCTGGTGGGCAGGGCTGGAAGCATCCAGAGGGCAGAGAGAAGCCAGGCCATGGAGGGAGGGGCCAGGGCTTAGGAGACTGAGGCTGGGGATGGGCAGTCCCGGGTTAGGAGTTGGGCCCTAGTGGGAAAGAGGGCTGTGGTCAGAGGGGTAGTGCGATCTGAGGCACAGCCCCAGCGATGCCCGGAGAGGTGGCATCCCCTCCCCCCCACCCCCATAGCCACCACAGCACGAGAGCCCTTCCCATGCTGTTGGGAATCAGTAAATACACCTTCCCTTCTTCCCTCTATGCTGCATGTGTTGAGGCTGGAGAGGACGGTTACTAGGCTTGTGTCCCAGCACTGAGCCTAGTGCCCACCGAGGGGAGGTGCTTAGAAGCTGCTGAGGAAGCAGGCAGAGCAGCCTGGCTTCGGGTGAGGACTCAGAGGAGCCTCAGCTGGGTCAGCCCCTTCTCTTCCCCCCGTGAGCCCATTTATAACACCTGGCCAGCCTACCTGTCGAGGTCTCCAACATCACATAAGACTAGACCATGATGGGGAAATGACAATGCAGATATGATATGGGAGGGGAAGGGAGTCCGACTTCGCACTGACTGGTTTAAAGTGATGATTTCAGGGGCATCTGGGTGGCTCAGTCCTTTGGGAAGTGAGCTCTTGGTTTTGGCTCAGATCATGATCTCAGGGTTGTGAGATCGAGCCCTGCATTGGGCTCCTCGCTCAGAGAGGAATTGGCTTGAGATTTTTTTTTTCCCTCTCTCTCTCTCTTCCTCTGCCCTTCTCCCCCTCAAATAAATAAATAAATCTTTGAAAAAAAAATAATAAAGTGGTGATTTCAGGGCTTCTCCACATGTCACATGCTACAAAGGTCAAGGGGGGTGAAAGAGGCCATGCATGGGTCTGTTTGGGACTAACACCGCCCAAGACCTAACGACCTGTCTTGGCTTCTCTGAAAGAGTTTCTGCCACTTCTTCCCTGACAAGGTTGGACTTCCACTCACTAGGAAGGAGTCCTCACTGAAGCCAAGAAGGGAAAGCAAGTTCCTGTTCCTCCTGTAAACGGAGACAGCATTTTTCCTTGAAGAAAGCAGGCGGCAATCCGGCCCGAAGCTTTCAGTGGGAGGAAAGTGCTGCCTCCCCGTGGGCTGGCCTCCGAGGAGCTACACTCTGGGAGCTCCCCATGCGCCCGGCCTTGGCCTTGGGTGGAGAGGCCAGGACGGGCGGGGTCGGACAGCTGCTCTCTGCCAGCTGTCACAACAGATTTTACCCAGAGTCACTTTCAGTCACTAGGATCGGCTCCACCTGCTCGGAGGGTGGTAACAAAGGACCATCGACTGAGCGGTTTCTCAGCAATAGACTTGGGATCTTTCCCAGCTCTGGAGCTCAGAGTGCCAGCCTACTGGGGCCTGAGGGGGGCTCTCGTCTGGGGTGGAGACCGGCTACTTCTCCACGTATCCTTGGGGAAGGAGGAAGAGGGAACTCTTCGGGATCCCTTTTATGAGAACGCAAGTGCCATCATGTCATGACCTGATCGCCTCCCAAAGACCCCACCTCCTCATCCCATCACACTGGGGGTTAGGATTTCTGTCTGTGGATTCAGGGGAGACACAAACATTCAGTCTGTAACAGTGCCTGAGGTCTCTGGGCTGAGATTCTGAATCAGAGGGGCAGCAGCCCCTGGTGGGAGGAGGTGAATGCTGACTGAAGAGTGGAGAGTGCCACGTGGCTCTGTTTCTCTCTCTGGAGACAATGTGTCCGACCCTCCCCTCATGCCACATTGCCACACCATGAGTCTGTTTAGTCACCCGACACGGTGGGTCAGGCAGCCATGGTGTAGGGCACGACAGGGAACATGCCTGGCTTCCCTCCATGACCCAAGGAGGCCCCATGGCCGGGCCAGCTGTTCCTCCACAGGTCACAAGGGGGACCTGGCAACTGAGTGCTAGTCGACCATTCCAAATCCTTCCCCACACCTGTCAGAACTTGGGTCCTCCTGACAGGTGAGCAGGAACATTCCAGGTCCCAAGGGGCTTGAGCTGGAAGGCACATCACAGAGTCTGCAAGCCCTTTTAAGTTACAGACGGGGAGGCCAAGACCCACCGTGAAGGAGCAACAGGATCACATAGCCACGGGGTCAGCACACCCTCCTGGGGGTTGGGGAGTCCTGCGCGCAGTGCATGTGGGACTGTTGTTTTAGCTGAGAGTCCACACAGCTTTCTTGGAGTTCAAGGTCTGATGGAGGAAGAAGCGTGTGTGAACGTGAATTTTGTATTTGAACGTGGGGGTGTATGTGGTGCCATGGATGTTTAGCACATGTCGGTAGGTGTGTAACGAGTGACCCCATTTTATGTGTCACTCAGACGGTGCTCACAGCAAGCAGGCCGCGGTACAGAGTGCTCTGTGCTCAGCTGTGTTCCCTCGAACTTCTGTGTTGAAGTCCTAAGCCCCAGCACCCTGAATGTCACTGTGGAGACAGACCCCTTAAAGAGATGATTAAGGTAAAACGAGGCCATTGTCAGGGGTTCTAATCCAAGATGGCTCTGTCCTTAGAAGAGACACTGACACACACAGAGGGAAGACCTGGTGAAGACATAAGGAGAAGACGGCCACAGACGAGCCGAGGACGGAGGCCACGGGAGAAACCAAACCCGCTGACACCTCGATTGTGGATCCTCCAGCCTCCAGGACTGTGAGACAACAAATTTCTGTTGCTTTAGCCCCACAGGTCTGTGCTATTTGTTACAGTGGCCCAGCGCACTAACGCAGAGAGCTAGCTTGAGGGACACACACGGTGCCATGGGTGGGGACTGGAGCTGGGCAGAGCTGTCCTCCTCAAAGCGGGAAAGGGATGGATGGTTCAAATGAGCCATCTGCCCAGAGGAGGTCTGCACCGCTCCCTTACAGTGTCTTGTACCCTGGGCAGGAAGGGAGGCGGGCTTGAGCATATTGAAAGGAAAGCAACCAAGATGGAGAAGGCTTTCGAAATCCTGTCACATGAAGACGAGACAGAGTTACTGGAAATACTCATCTGAAGAAGCAAAGACCCAGAGGCGGTCTGGGACGGCCTGTGGAATGGATGAGAGCCTGGCCTCCTAAGCCACCTGCTAGGGTCTGAACCCAGGGTCTGCCATTTCCTAGATGTGGGACCCAGGGCAAGTTATTCAACTTCTCTGTGCATCTGCTTCCTCATTTGGAAAATGGGGATGATATCCCTATCTACTTCCTAGTGTTGTAAGGGTTAAAGGAGTGAATATTTGTAACATGTTTTGGACCAAGCCCGGCCCACAATCGGCACTATTAAGTATTCAACACTCGCTGTGCACCATCGGAAAAATATAACAGAGCGAAGTGGGAGTGGATTTGGACCTGAGACGCCGGGCTGAGAACTAGAGCCCACAGGGGAATCCGACAGGAGACAAGAAATAAAAGGAGGTCAATTCAAGGAAAGGAAGAATGTTCTAATAAACAGAACTGTGTGAGGACGTGCCAGCTTGCCTGGGGTACAGCGAGCCTCCCACTGCAGGAAGTATGGGGGGCAGAGGCCAGGTGCCCCCTGCTGAGACTGCTGTGGGGGGCACTTGGGCTCTGGGAGGAGACCGATGAAGACTCCTGGGCCCTCTCCCCGGGTCCTTCTCCCGCAGAGGGCTTACCTTGCCCAAACCGAGCTGTCCTGTACACCTCCTCCACACCACGGAAGCCCAGCATGCGGCATACCACGTCGCCGTCCTTCTTGTCCCAGCCGTCATCGCACACGGTGCCCCAGCGCCGCTCGTGGTACACCTCCACGCGGCCCTCGTGTGGCCCAGAGCCATTCACCAGCCGGATCATCACGGCTTCCACGCTACCTGCTGGGAGCAGCCCATAGTCACTGCTGTGCTCTGGACACTCCTGGGGCCACCCAGGGACCTGGCCTGCTTTCCCTCTGACCCCCCACCCCACCCCCTGCATGGGCCAGAGGGGACTCAGACCAAGACCAGAACAAACCCGGCTGGGTCTCCCCTGGCCCCTGATCGGCCTGCTTCTTTCTACCTTTCTTTTCTCCTTTTAATAGACTTCCTTTTGGGGGACACCTGAGTGGCTCAGTCATTTAAGCCTCCACCTCTCCGTTGTCTCTCCGATCATGATCTCAGGGTGGTGAGACTGAGCCCTGCATGGGGCTCTGTGATCAGCGTGGAGTCGGCTTGAGATTCTTTACCTCTCCCCCTCCCTTCCCTTCTGCCCCGCTCGCTGCTGTGGTGGGCATGCCAGCTCGCTCTCAAATAAAGAAATAGATAAATAAACAAATACATACATACATATATACATCTTTTAAAAAAAGACAGACTTCATTTTTTCAGAGCAGTTTTAAGTTCCCAGAGAAATTTCCCGCCTCCTCTTTGCCCCTACATAAGCAAGCCTCCCCGCACTATTACGAGCCCATACCAGAGGGTCGTATTTGTCATAATCGGTGAGCCACCCCTGACACGTCATTATCACCCAGAGTCCACTGTTTACCTTAGGGTGCCTTCCTTCTTGGTGGACATTCTATGGGTTTGGACAAATGTCTCAGGACACGTATGCAACCATTACGGTATCCTACAGAGTACTTTTATTGCCCTAAAAATCTCTGTGTTCCTCCTCTTCCTCCCTCCCCACTTCCCAGCCTCTGGTAGCCCCTGGTCTTCTTACCCTCTCCATAGTGTTGCCTTTTCCAGAACGTCTGTCATCCAGTTGGAATCACACAATATGGAACCTTTCCAGATTGGCTTCTTTTACCTAGTTGTATGCATTTAGGTTCCTCTATGTCTTTCTGTGGCCCAATAGCTCATTTCTTTAGAACACTGAAGACTATCCCATGGTCTGGATGGGCCCCACTTTATGTATTCATTCACCTCCTATAGGACACGTGCCTCCAAGTTTTGGCAGTTATGAATAAAGGTGCTTTAAACCCTGCTGTGCAGGTTTTTGTGTGGACATCAGTTTTGAACTCATTTGAGTAAATCCCAAAGGAGTGTGATTGTTGGATTTCTCTCCACCTTTTGGGACCTGGTGACCAGCAGTCATACCTGCCAGGGAGGAGAGGGCAGGGGGAACAGAGAAAACCGAGGGAGGATCCAGACCCTCCCAGCAGGTGGCCTTGCTGTACAGCCCAGTAGCTGGGGACATCCCCACGGAGTGTCTTAGCCCTGAGTCCCGGCGTTCATGCCTACTTTCCCACTAGGCTGTGAGCATGAATGTGTGAAGCCAGACATACCTGGGTGTGAATTCTGTCTCTGCCACTCACTGTCTCTGAGTGGGGGACAGTAGTTCCTCAATCTAAGATGCACTTTTTGGGGCACCTAGGTGGCTCAGTTAGTTAAGTCTCTGCTTAGGTCATGATCCAGAGTCCTGGGATCGAGTCCCACATCGGGCTCCCAGCTCCACAGGGAGTCTGCTTCTCCCTCTGACCTTCTCCCCTCTCCAGCACTCTCTCACACACACTCTCTCTCAAATAAAGAAATAAAATCCTAAAAAAAATAAGATGTCCTTTTCGTAAGGCACATCACTATTGTATGTGCTACTAAGAAGGAAAAAGTTCTGCCAGTGACAGTGGCAAGTTACATCAATTGCGAGATGCTTCCAGACTTCAGAGATGTGAAATTGTTTGTCACAAAATCAGTGAGACGTGGCAACAATCCATGAAGAGCTCAGAATAGCACCTGCACATAGAAGGCTCTTCTTTCTACCTGAATGACCTTAAGAAAGACTCACAGCCTCTCTAAGGGTATGTCCCCAAGTGTGACATGGGGACAACAGGTAGGGCTATTGTGTAGCCCAAATGAAACCATGTGGGGGCGACTGGGGGGGGGCTGAGTTGGTTGAGCGTTGGACTGCTGATTTTGGACTCATGATCTTGGTGTCGTGGGACTGAGCCCCACGCTGGGTTCCATGCTCAGCACAAAGTTTGCTCATTCCTCTCCCTCTGCTCCTCCTCCTGCTTATGCTCTCTCTCTTTTATTTTATTTTTTTAATTTTATTTTATTTAAATTCAGTTATTTAACATAGAGTGTATTATGAGTTTCAGAGGTAGAGGTCAGAGATTCATCAGTTGCAGATGACACCCAGTGCTCACTGCATTACGCGCCCTCCTGAATGCTCATCACCCAGTTACCCCACCCCCCCACCCACCTCCCCTTTCTTTATCTCTCTTAAAATAAATACATAAATCAAATCCTGAAAAAACTAAATGAAGTCATGTGTATAAGGCTCGGAGCATGGTGCCTGGCACACTGTAGACCCTCAGCAAACCCTAGGCTGCTCCTCCTTCTCTTGTGGCTGAAACTCTATCACCTTCATCTATAAACTCTACTTCGCACAGAGCCTGGCTCTAGGAAATGAACAGTAAATGCGCTACACAGATGAATGAAGACTCGTTCCTTTGCAGGACGAAGCATGGCGTTATTTCTCCAGAGGGCTACCTGGGGGGCTCAAAGAACACTGGAGCTGCTGAAACAAGCCTTAAGATCATCTCAAAACTGGGGAGGGTCTGGCAGGGAGGTCACAGTGTCGGGCCATTCATGCTGCTAGTGTCAGGGTCTCAGAGCAGGCCAGGCAGAGTTCAGGGTGCCAGGTCAAAATAATAATAATGCTGCTAGTGGGAACTCAGGTCCCCTCATGTGTCTTCTAAGGCCTTTTCACCATCCAGAGCGATCTTCATCCCTCGGGGACCAGAACTTCCTCGCTTGACAAGATATCAGAGTGGTCATTGGGTCTTAAATCTAGTCACACATCAAAATCATTAAGAATGGCTGTGAAATGCAGATTCGTGGGACCACTTGGACCTACTGGATCAGCAGGTGGGAGTCAGGGATCTGTAATTTTTAGAGATGTCCCCCATGATTTCAAGGTATTACATGTATGCGCACAGGCATCTGGGAGTGACGGGAGTAGATGATCTGTAAGTTTTTTTCCAGCTCCAGTGTTCAGTGATTCTAAGGCCAGGGAAGAGGTGGAAGAGGTCAAAGTTGTCTCTTTTTTGTTTTTCCTTTTGCAGCCAGAAACCACTTGGGACATGTAGGGCACGTAGGGTGGTGGTGAAATCATTGTACTCTGACACGGTGACACTTGAGTGCCATGATGGCAAAAAGACCCTTATGTGAACTGCCAGAGAAAACAGCAAATCCCATCAAGTTCCCTGCCCAGTAAGTACTGCACTCTCAGACCATTTTTTTCTTCTTTTTTTGGCCAGGTGGGCTGGGGCATCTCCCCTTCCGATGACTGTGACTTCACAGGCCCTTGGAGGAAATGGCAGGATTGATAAATCCCACGTCTGTACCACATGAGAAAGGAAAGGAGTTAGAATTGGCCACATGTCTGTTATGTGCTGCCTGGACTGGGGAAACCCCAAGGATATTCTGTACAGGGGAACCAAAAAAGTCACCAGAAAACCACAGCATTCTCAAGGCGCCAAAAGATCACAGATGGATGACTCTGGAGGCTTCTTGAAATGTTAAATGGCATTTTCTACACATCCTTCATCCTTGACCATACTCCTCATATGGATTTGTTGAAAACACAAGCTCATACCAGGCTGTCAAGGCTGAGGAAGAGCAAGAGAACACAGGAGTCCTGGAGAAGGAAAACATGGAGAGAAGCTGGAAGGCAGAGACTGAGTCTGAGACAGAGAAACTCCCCAGGGAGCGGTAATGACAAGCTAAGCTGGAGGCAGCAGCAGCAAATGAGGCCTGGCCCCTGGCTGGGGGCTTGCCCTGGGTGGGTTGGCCGATGCTGAGATGTCAGCCCTGATTTCTCACAGACCTGCCTCGCCTCTGTCAGCAGCCTGTTATGGTGGCAGTGGGCCACGCCAGGCCAGCCTCCAACAGAAGCCTCAGTGTGGGGTCGTAAGTACAAGAGAGAAGTGACAGGAGAATGTTGTGGGTCTCAGAGCAGGCCAGGCACAGTTCAGGGTGTCAGGTCAAAATAATAGGAAGAGGCCACCTGCGACCCAGGAAGCCAAGGCTGACGTTCAGAGTTCCCCCATATCCTCCCTGTTCAGGCCAGCCTGAATTCACTTCATTCATGTCTTTGTTTAGAAAAATAAATGACTAACCATCTGTTAAAGACTTGGTCCTGTTCTAGGAGCTATGGATATACGCTACCCTCAAGGACTGGTATTTTATTTTTTTATTATTATTTTATTATGTTATGTTAGTCACCATTTAGTACGTCATTAGTTTTTGACATAGTGTTCCATGATTCATTGTTTACGTGTAATACCCAGTGCTCCATGCAGTACTTGCCCTCCTTAATAACCATCACTGGAAGGGCTGGTATTTTAGTGGAAAGACTAGCAGTAAAGCTGGGGGCAGGGGGAGTAACTATGGCCAGGTAATAATGAGTGCATGGACAGGAATGGAAGCACAGAAAGGGAACAGAGAATGAGAGGAGGTGCTATCTTGGTTGAAGAGACAAGGAAGGAAATGGAGAGCGAGGCATTATGCCATCTTAGGTAAGGAGATAAGAAAATGAATGAAGAGGGGCGCCTGGGTGGCTCAGTGGGTTAAAGCCTCTGCCTTCGGCTCAGGTCATGATCCCAGGGTCCTGGGATCGAGCCCCCGCATCGGACTCTCTGCTCAGCGGGGAGCTTGCTTCCCTCCCTACCTCTGCCTGCCTCTCTGCCTACTTGTGATCTCTGTCTGTCAAATAAACAAATAAAAATCTTAAAAAAAAAAAAAAGTGAATGAAGAGTGAGGGAAGGCACCATTTTGGACAGGGACACAGGAAGGGAATGGAGAATAAGGGGATGTGCCTTCTTGGAGATAGGTAAGGGAATGAAGATTGAGGGAAGATGCTATCTTAGAGAGAGAGAAACAAGGAAGGGAATGGAGAT